AATGCATTGCTTTTTCTTTGGTCTTGTTCAATATCAAACTTTGACGATCAATGATATCCCTCATTCCACATCCTCTTCTGAATCCAGCCTGGACATTTGGCAGCACCCTGCAACCACTGTTGGATGATCTCCAGCAAAATTTTACTTGCATGTGATATCAATGATATTGTTCTATAACTTAAGCATTCTGGTGGGTCACCTATCTTTGATATGGGCACAAATATGGATCTCTTCCTATCAGTTGGCCAAGTAGCTGTCTTCCAAATTTCCTGGCATAGACAAGTGAGTGCTTCCAGAGCTTCATCCACTTGTTGAAAATTTCAACAGGTATTTCATCAATTTCTTGAGCCTTGTTTTTGGCTAATGCATACAGTGCCACTTGAAGTTCTTCCTTCAGCACCATTGATTCTTGCTTATATGCTACCTCCTGAAATGGTGAACTGTCGACTAGTTCTTTTTGATACAGTGACTCTGTGTATTCTTTCCATATTCTCTTGATGCTTTCTGCATCATTCAAGATTTTGTCCACGGAATCTTTCAAGATTTAAACCTCAAGGTTTGAATTTCACTTGAGTTCTTTCAGTTTCAGATATGCTGAATGTCTTTTTTGGGGGGAGGGGGGCTCTAATTCTAGGTCTTGCACATTTCATTTTAATATTTGACTTTTTCTTCTGGGGCTGCCTTTTGATATTTTCTATTCGGCTTTTTCTTTTCTATGAATTTTCTGTTCCTCCTTTCTTTCATTTCTTTTAGCTGCTCTACAATTAGAAGTCCGTTTCAGGGTCTCTTCTGACATCCACTTTGACCTTTCCTTTCTTTCCTGTCTTTTTAATGACCTTTTTCTTTCTTCAAGAATGATGGTTTTAATGTGCTCCACAGCTCACCAGGTCTTCTGTCATTAGTGTTCAATGTGTCAAATATGCTCTTGAAATTCAGATTGGCTAGACTCATGATCATCTTTTGACCCTTGTAGATGTGTTTTAATTTTCTTCAGCTTTATCCTGAACTTACCTCTGAGTAATGTTGGTCTGCTTTACAGTTAGCACCTGGTCTGGTTTTAGCTGCTGATATTGAGCTTTTCTGGTGTCTTTTCCCACAGACGTAGTCCATTTTATTCCATCTGGAGAAGCCCATGTGTATCGCCATCTTTTGTGCTGTTAAACCAAAGTATTTGCTATGAAGAAGTTGATGGACTTATAAAATTTTGTCATGTGGCCTCCAGCTTAATTTCTATTACCAAGGCCATATTTTCCAACTACTGTTCCTTCCTTCTAGTTCCTCATCTTTGCATTCAAATCACCAATGGATCTTGATTTCAGGTTTGATCGATATTTCAGACTGAAGTCGTTGATAGAATTCTTTAATTTCTTCATCACTAGCCTTTGTGACTGTTGCATAAATTTGAATAACAGTTGTATTGATTGGATTTCCTTGAAGGTGACTAGATAGATGAGGGGATTCTCCCCCAAAACCAATGCTCATTTGTTTTTGTTTTTTTATGTGAGGGGGATAGTGCATTTGGAGTAATTCCACCAGGTCAGACTGTTCATCAAGCTTTCTATTTAGAGGTTCTGAAAAGATTGCATAACAGCGTGCAACAAAAAGGCCTGATTTGTGGCAGACAGGGGACTGGTTTTGCCACCACAACAATGCACCTGCTCACACAGCCATCTCAGTGCGCCAGTTTTTGGGCAGCCTCCCCTCCCCCCAAAAAAACCCCAAAAAACCCAACAATAGCATGCCTCTCTTGCCCCATGTACCTTCCTTGGCTGACTTCACTTGGTGTGATTTCTTTTTGTTTCCATGAATGCAGAGGGACATGAAAGGGCAGCGATGTGATGACTTTGGAGAGGTGAAGAAAACAATGAGGGAGGTACTGTCAGCCATCCAAACAGATGAGTTTGAAAAATGTTCCCAAGAATGGAATCACAGATTTGGCAAGTGTATTAAGTGTAATGGAAAGGACTTTGAAGGTGATACACTTGTTTTGTAAAAAAAATTTTGAATACATAGCTTTGGGGAAAAAATCTGGCTTTTTTTGGGTAGCCCCTTGCAATCCGATCACATATCGCAATGTACTTCATGATTGATTTTGTGATGTCCTTTTTTGACAATGAAAACCACACCATTCCCCTTCATTGTGTTATTCTTGACATAATAAACCATATGATTTTCTGATTAAAAATGGCCAGTAGCGGTTCATTTCCACTCACTAAAGCCTAAATGTCAATCTGTATGTGTTCCATTTCACTTCTGATGACTTCCAATTTTCCTAGATTCATATTTCACACATTCCAAGTTCTGATCCTTAGCAGATTTTTTTCAGCTGTTTTACCTTACCTGAAGTCACACCCTCTCAGCAACTGAAGAGCCCCAAAGCTGCACTCCTGCAGGCTTTACCAGACTCACTTCACCATGGTCAAGTCCATTCCTAGAAATTCTCCTCCTTGGTCATGAGAATTCAAGTGCCACAGCACGGAGGGCCCATCTTTTTTTTTTTTTTTGAGTTTTTTTTTTTTAATTAACATTTTATTAGGGGCTCATACAACTGTTATCCCAATCCATACACACATCAATTGTGTAAAGCGCATATGCACATCATTTCTCAAAACATTTTCTCTCCACTTAAACCCCCGACATTAGGTCCTCATTTTTCCCCTCCCTCCCCGCTCCCCCCTCCCTCATGAGCCCTTGATAGTTTATAAATGGGTAATTTGTCATATCTTGCCCTGTCCGACGTCTCCCTTCACCCACTTTTCGGTTGTCTGTCCCCCAGGGAGGAGGTCACACACAGCTCCATGCAATCGGTTCCCTCTTTCCTACCCATTCTCCCTTTACCCTCCCTGTTTTGCCACTCACACCACTGGTCCTATAGGGCTCATCCGTCCTGGATTCCCTGGAGGGCCCATCTTACAGCTATCTCTGACTCCATGGTTTAGGCCTTCAGTGTCTGACAATGTTTTGAAACTGTGCGTAAGGGCTGTAGCTGCTCTTTCCTTCCAAGTGGTGGGGTGTGTTCTTCATGGTCTGTTCTTGGTCTGAAGGCTGTGCTGAAACCTTTTCTCTCTGGGTGACTCTGCTGGCATTTGAAATACCAGCGACATGGATCCTGGCATCACAGCACTACGCAAGCCACCACAGTGTGACAAACTGACAGACAAAATTAAAAGTAGACAATTGAAAGCTAATTTGAGGAGTTCGTTATTCTAGATTATAAAAGTGTCATCCTAAGATATCACCTATCAGGATCTGTTCTTTTCATGGTCCCATAAAGATTGTGTTGTATGGAAAGAACAGGAAAAGTGAAGAACCTACAGATCTAGCAATGGAAAGATGTATTTCACAATGTCTCTTGGGACTATGAGTTTGTTACCATGAGGCAATTCGCGATTTTGAGCCTTTCCTCTCTGTTTTTTGTACCTCTTGCAAGAAAAATTCAGATGAAGGCTAGCATTCAGAACAGAGAAAGCAAAACGTTTTGAATGAAGCAAGTAAGTTTGAGAGAGGTACTTTGGCATGGAACCCCAAAGCACCCCAGCTAATCGGAGGGCAAAGAAGAATGAAAAACTTGGTTTTTATTCCACTATTGGTGAACTTTCCATCATCGGCTGGCTTTCTGGTAGGTGTTTTGCTATTGGCTGGGTTTCCATAACATACCTTCCATTTCCAATATGTGAACCTCTGCACCCCAGAATTCATGTTGTGTCCTTGTGTTAGATCTCTCTGGAGCCAGATCTATACCTTGGTCCTTGGCTCCGTGTGAGAAAGAATTCCAAGTGAGTTTTATGAGAGTTAGAAGACGTTTCGGGTTTACACGGCACCCATAGGACTCCTCCTGAACATGCAGCCTGCCTGGAAGCTGCTCAGTGGCACGCAAAAGTGTCCCAAGGTCCTCCCAAAGTTCTGCTGGTTGACTCTGGGCTCCTGCCTTTAGAAGGATTCCACGGGGAGGCATGGTGGATGACCCCTGATCGACCCCCTTGGCTGAATTGAATTTACCTGGCCTAGGTGGGCCAATCCAGGTTCAGTGCCCACCCATTCCTATCCGGCGGGAACCCTGAATCTCTGAGCATGTGCAGTGCACCACTCCTTTGTTTCCGTAGCTTGGCCCTCTGGGCATGCATTAACGGACATCCCCCAGCCCTACGCTAGCCTACCTAACACTTGTTGTCAGGCCCCAATACCAATGGTCAATTCAGCCTTTGTGGGGGTAGTGGGAACACCCTGTCTTTCCTGGCCCACACCCTTTCACTATCTCCATCTCTTCCATTGATAAGAAAACATGCCTTATCTACCCTTTACCTCCCCTTGTGTCGGAGGGAATGTGCCTCCATCTCTCTTTTGAATTCGAATTCCTTCCATGATCTTTTCCCCCTGTGCCCAAGTCTGTCACTATGAGCCAGAATCAGCTCAATGGCAAAGGGTGTCGTTTCCATTTCCTGTGCAAGACCCGTTCCTACCATCTGATTCTGTTCCGCATGTTCAGATCTCAGCAGTTCCAAAATAAGTCCAATTGACACCTCAAATGTTAGCTAGGCAGAACTGGGTGTTAAATTGTGTCATAGAGAAAGAAAATTCACACCCAGAACTCCCTACACAACTTACATAAAGCCACTGTACCAGGGTCAATGCACTTTATTATTTCCGCTGAACTAAAAGATCTTTGGGGCATGCATCAGACAGTCACGACCTCTTCCTCTTTGTCATGGTGTCACTGCAGGGACCCGTACTTGCAACACATTTAAAACATGCAAAATGCTGGGACCTGTGTGAAGTCCCAACTTGGAGCAGTCTCTGGGAACCCAGCCCATGATGCCTCTGGGCCAACATCTGACCAAAGCGGGGTGGCTGATTAAAATGAAAAGGATTGAAATTAGCATGGTTCATTTTAATTGGTAGGGGTCAGTACACCGAAAGTGAAATCATCTTTCCCTAATCACTGAGAAACCACTCTGTTAGAATGTTGGGAGGAAGACATTCTCCTGGTGTGTGGGGCTTTTCTAATATGGCATGGAAATACTATCTATGCTAAAGGGAATAAGTTCTCCAATCTCATTTTGCCACTTACAAGTGATTAAGGCCAGTCCTCTCATGGAAATACCTTCATAATAACATTCTGGTAGGCGGGTTCCGCTTATTAATTTACAATACACAGCAAACATAAATTTCTTACTCCTGTGGCATTTTCTAATGCCATTCTTACATCTTACAAATGAGTAATAACACATCTGTCTGATGTCCTCATACTTTTCTTGGAGGAAGTAGTGTTCCTTCACACACCCAAGCTTCTTGTGCACCTTTTTATATTTGATTTCATAATCACAGTATCCCTTTAGATATATAAATCGATCTAGAGGCTCAATCATGCTCTTCTCCTCGAATCGCTCTTTGGTAGGTTCTGAGGTAGCCCCTGTGCCGTAAAACTCCTCCAAAATATCTACAAACTCTTCGTCAAGTTGAAATGGAGTCCGAGGAATATATTCTCCGTCGAGCTGCACAGGGAATAGCAGTAGTAGCAGAGATAGCGGGTGCGTGATGACAGAAGTCTGCCACATTTTCCTATGGGGAATAAGAAAGAGATGGGGAGGTCCATTCTATGGTGAAAATGCACCTGCTATTCGGCATTGATCTGCTAGCTTCAAAGTCGGTGATTCAAACCCACCAGTTGATCATTAGGAGGAAGAGGAAGACCGCTCTGGGAAAGATTGACAGTCTTGTAAACCCTACATAGGGTCACTATGAGTCAGAGTCAGCTTGGCAGCAATGAGCTTCCTTTCCATGTCCCGTGCAAGACCCGTTTCTACAATCGAATTCTGTTCTCCATGTTCAGCTCTCAGCATTTTCAAAATAAGGCCAATTGACAACTCAAAATCCATTTACATACTTCTGACATAATGGCTTAAAATGATATAACTGGGACATAGAACCCACTGTCCTGGGGCCAATTCTGATTCATAGCAGCCACATCATTCATTCTAAAGGCTGGAGATAAGGGAGAAACATTTAATAGGCAGAAGGGGGAGATGAAGAGATGAGGATGAAGGGAAGAGAGAAAGAAGGAATTAAGAAGGGAGCAAGGGAGAGATGAAGGGCAGGGGTGGGAAGAGGGGGATCGAGAACAGCAGAAGGAGAGAGGGAGGTTACACAAGGGAGCCCCCCCTGAACATCCCAATGTGATGAGGAAAACCCCTCAACGCAGGGCTTTCTTTCTCTTCTTGACGTGTGTGTGTGTGTGTGTGTGTGTGTTGTGGTGCTCTCTTTATCGGAGGATAGTTAGCACTGTCAGTGACTTCTACAGACTAAACACCAGTGACAGCCACTCGCCTGCGTTGTAACAACCCCCAAAGCCTTCAGACATTACCAAGGGCCTCTTGGTGTAGGTAGAGGTCATCCTTGGTTGCAATACGCTGCCTTAGCATTCAAATAAGATAGGTATGCTCATCTTTATGATTTCAAACCTCATCGGGCCAGAAATGGCAGGAGGAGAGAGACAGAGACAAAAAAAGAGAGAGCGCGTGTGTGTATGTGCAGAATAGTTCTTTCCCAACAGTTGCTTGTTTAATGGTACTGCAGTAGAGCTCTGACTCTTAGCATTAGGTTTGCAGAAGGCTATGGATAACAGTGAAAGACCAATTTCATTTGCTGAGTCCCCAGGGTGGGCACATCATTGCCCTCTGGCAGAGTGCATTGGAACTTGGATTGCTCCCACCCCTTTGATCAGCCCTGGGAAAGAGTCTCCCTCAGGGGTTTCCCTAGGTGTGTCCTTGTTGGAGACTGGCTTACTACTGGGGTTGTATAGTCATGAATCATGCCCTGACAGCCTTGGTCAGAAGGCCCAAGACCAACTTGGTAATTCTTCTACCTACCGTAATTTACATGTCCCAATCATGGCCCTTTTCTCCTCCTCTGTAGTCTCTCCTGCAACTGGGATGTATTGATCTGCTGCCAATCATGCTTTTGTGATCATTTGCTTTGCCACCCCACCCTGCCCCCACCCACCCCATGTCTCTTTCAATCTCAGCAAACCCTTGTACATGATTATGACCTTGTGCCTTTGGATGATGTGCCTTTGCCTTGTCTTTGTCCTCTCTAAGACTGGATAAATGTTCTTCTTAAATTACATTTGAGATCCGAGGTCTCCTTCGTAGCTCAAACAGTTGTTAAGTTTTTGCCTCATTATACTGTGCAACCGAACAGCCAACCTTCCTTTGGAATTCAGCCTATACTTGGCCTCTGACCTTATGAGTAAAAATCTCTGTGATTGAACCCAGAAATTTGTATTTTAAGCAAATTCATAAGGTGATTTGTAGCACACACTCAAGTTTGAGAGCATTGTTGTAGCTGATATAAAAACCACTTTGTGAAAAAGTAATTACAAGCTGTGACAAACTAATAGGGAAAGAGTTAGCCTTTGGGAAAAGATCGAGATGGATCTTGAGCTGTTAGGTAAACCAATGTACATTTCAAATGGATTATTAAGGGGTATTTAAAATTATTTTTTATTAATTAATCTTTTAACTTAACCAATTAATTTTGCCAAACAAGATATTAGCTGACCTCACAATGAGATAGGACCTCTTAGGTATACAATAAGAGAAGAACCCAAATAAATTTCTATGCAAAATAATATTTTTGTAAAAATTACCTTAAGAGTACTTGGAAAACATTATGAAAGAGATACCATACAAAGTATACCACCCACATAAAGAACAGGAATATGTAATTGATAGAAGAAATATTAGTAGTAATGATCACTTAAAAATAAATGCAGTCTCTGTCACAAAAGGAAAAACTAAATTTATATCCTTAAAGTGCCAATAAATATAAAACCTTACAAGCACAATGAGAGGTGAGCCATCAATCTGATCAGAATGAAATTGGTACAATTGGTTCTGAGGAAAAAAGTATTGGCAAATATTTTAAATGTTCTCAAAGGCGTGTGCCTTTCCCCCAGGGTTGTGGTATCTAGAATTTTAAGTTGAGTAAATTGGGTTTTACTGAAAGATAATAGGTTTTACTTGAGAAAGTAAAAACCTTGAAAATGTAAATGGCCGAAATGTAGAAATACTAACTTGAATCCATAGGTTCATAGCAATGACAATACGAGCTATAAGAGTACAATAGTACCCCAAAAATTAGTTGCTGATACCAAGGGCTCAAGTAGAAAGAAAATGTTTTGAGAATGATGAAGGCAACAAATGTACAAATGCGCTTCACACAATGGATGGATGTATGGATGGTGATAAGAGTTGTATGAGCCCCTAATAAAATGATTTTAAAAAGAAGAGTACAACAATGGCTGGGATATGTTGAGGCAGTCACTATGCTGTATTTATAAATTTATCTATCCTTAAAATGAACTATTTTTGAAAAATTAAAAATATAATCGCCAGTGAAATTTTAGAACGACCACAATATTTTATGATATATTAGTATAGTAGTACTGCCTGATGGCAAGTGACAGAAATCCCAAGCAAATAAACACACAAGAACTATATTGACTCACAAGAGAAAGTTGTCCACGAGGCACAGCGGAATGCCAAGGAAATACTTATCAGCTCCCTTGTTCTGTCTCACAACTGTTTTCTATTCTGAGTTACTTTCATCGAGGGTCTCTCCATGTAATGGCAAAGACAATCCCTGTCCCCTTATATTTAGGATCACATAGTGAATACTATAATGTGATCCAACATGGAAAATAGCGTCTATGATTGGTCTTCTTTCTGTCACATGACTCAATCCAAGGAGGAGGAGCCCCCTGATTGACGAGCCTGGACCTCACGGCACTCTTTGAGAAATAAAAGCAAAGCTCCATCAGCAAAGGCCCAAGAAAATTCCTCTTCCCAAGAGAAGGAGTATTCCCTGGCACACACAAGACAATGTGAGACCAACTCTAAAAGTATCAACTGCACATCAGAAATGCGTGAAGAAAAAAAGTCCAGCCATTTGGCTACATGCATCCTTACCTCAATCAGTAGAGAGATAGATTGGGTAAAGGGAAAAGAAAACCTAAAATCAAACACTTAATAAACTATTCATTTTGAATGATATCTTGTGATGGCTCTCTTTGTTTTTGTTTTTTCATAGTGAACTTTTACTAATATAAAACCAGTAACTGAACAAGTGTGCCACTAAAGAAATAGATTTTTAACAACCGGACCAGATCTGGTCTTCACTATTAAAATGCCTATTTCCTATAACCTCACAGTTTTATATGGCTACACTTCCATTTTTCATCGGCGTCAGGAAAACTCAGTACCTGTTTGAGTGGTTGAGCAAAGATAGATCCTAAAATCTCATAGTCCTAAAGTAGACTCACTTCGGTGGGTCCATCCTAGTGAAGCTTAGTTCAATCAATAAGGAAAATCTAAGCATTCATCAGCTTCACATTTACACTTTTCCAAACATTTTGAGCCAATGTTTGTACAAGAGACTGTCTCACAGGGACAGGACAGGCACGTCTGCCTTCCCAGGGACCAAACACTCTGCTTGCTAGGAAGGAACCGTCTATTTGTGTTAAGTGAGTGAGCATTCTGCAGGCTAGGAAAATAACTAATGGCTCTGAGATAACAAGCCTGGTTATGTCTCATCACTGAGGTCAGGCTGAGAGGATATCGGAGACATCGAGTTATGACCTGGGAAAAGTTCAACTCCTCCACACTGGCTCTGACCAATACAGAGATCTTTGACAAAGGAACTAGCAACGTGAGTTCTACAACTGCCTCTGCTGACTGTTTTGAGATCACAGCAGAGCGAGGAAACTGAGGCAGAACCCTCACATGTTCTGAGTTGAGGAAATAGAACTGACGGACTGAAGACGGCAAGGAAGCTTGAGTTCATAAGACCGAGTCCCGAAAGCTACCCAAGACCTGAAACGCGTCATGCATTCAGTGCTGGGTGTCACACATGTCTGAGAAAACTACCTGAGGCTGCAGGTGGGATGGGAGACCAAAGAGATCAGAAGGAATAATTTCAACTCCCCCGAGGAGCGAGGCTGAAAACACAAATTCATAGAGCATTAGGTAGAGTGCTCGGGAAGGTCTTGCCTCAGTAGTGAGGAATAATTACCCCTAGAAGAAGCCCTGCCCCCGCCTCTCAAAGCATGAAATCCACATTCTAGAAGATCAAAGGGTTAAGCTACTGGCCCAGAACAAAACTCAAAACAATCCGTTGGAATTACAAAAATAACCCAACCAGGGCAAGGCAATCCAGTACCATTCACAATATCCGCCATCTCACTAAAGGTTGCAAAGCATTCGGAAGCAGAAAAGCACAAACCATACTGAGAAAAATCATTTGATTAAGTTCAGATTAGAGATACTAAAACATTATGTGTAAATTATTTGAACATACAAACTAAAACCAGTGATATTTAGATTTATTTTTTTAAAAGCAAGTTTCAACTATATACTGCTTACAAGAAATGCATTTTGAATAGAAAAACACAAAAATGAAAGCTATGAAGGGGCTTTGAAAAGTTCATGGAAATATGGGATGAAAATATTATGGAATTTGGGGAAATTTTTAAAGATTCCTCATATATCAAAGCATATGC